GAATTTCATTATTACGCGATCATGGATACCAACTCCATTTAAGTTGGCAGTTTTCGTTTTTTCCAATACTGTTTCTGCCCTGTTTAAAAAGAAACAACCGCAGTAACTTCCCTTTCACTAATGTGTGTGGCATCAAAGCCACCAAAGAGCAAGGACAAACCGACGCTGTAAGTTTCATGTTCGAGTACAAAAACAGAAGAGAATTAAATATCTCAAACGCAATGTCGCTATGATAGGTGGATGATATAAAACGTTCTGCAGGAATTCCAGAAAAAAAACAACAATAAAACACAGCGTGGATAAAATATACAACAATACAAACAATCGTCATTTACTAATAACCAACAGCATAGCCAACACTTTTCACATACAGAAATCAGTAAGACACAAATTTCAATAGTACCCCTAATAAAACCCCTATTTAAAAATAAATGTGATGACAAATCGATTAAAGGGATGTATATTCCAAACGCTAGAGGCAAGAAAATACTTGCATACGAGGACGAGACAACTTTCTTAGTACAAACAGAAAAAGTAATAGAGACGGTAATAGAAAAATTCAACAACTCCGGTAAATGAAGTAGAGGTAATATAAACGCAGAATTTTTTTTTAAATTATGGGGATATGTAAATGGCATGGAAAATATAATTACAACATAAACATCACAATAACAAACCCAGAGTTTATGGGACAACCTATAAGTTATACCAGCGAGTCGACAAAAGACGACAAAGAAAATTAGACAATACTGAACATTACAATAAAACACAACCTCAACAAATAACACTACGGCAACTCAAACCTTCCATGATAAAGCTGCAATAGTAAAACAGACACATCATTCCAAAAATAATTTTCAGATCGACACACTCATTTATTTAAGATATAAACTACCTAATTAGAGAAATCATTTAAAAAATAAGATCATTTGCCACAAAACCCTAATACCCCCTCCCAACACAACCTCAAAAAAATTATTCCATGTCTAGGAAATGATGTAGTGGGTGTCGGGACATTGTATACCCAGTTTCATCTCCATCGTTCATGTATTATTCAAATTATGACATGTGTACACAAATGGACAACGTGTCACAATAGAGTATAATGTCAGTAAAACCTTGTATAAAGCATGCATTTCTGGACTGCTAATTACTTAGTATTAGCCATTTACACTATAATCAATTATTTGGTTTTAAATTTTGGTAGCTTAAACTTAAATTTGAATGTTGAAAATGTAAAGCAATTAAAAAAACGAAACTTCATTCTTAAATTGTTGAAAAAGTGTGCAGGAATACAAATAATAATACAAAACAATATTAAAATTCATTCGTGTTTTATTTAGAAAAAAAAAAAATCAAAAGTCATGTGTACATCTTTGTGCAAAGTGTAGGAAGGGAATATAAGTCATGTGTGATGACGCCTAACTTTCTAGAAAAATTTAGAAACCGGCGGAAATCTGAACAACACTCTTCTGCTATTAATGGCAGACCACGGTGCCAGATATTCTGACATAAAACGTTCTGCAGGAGTTCCTGAAAAAAAAACAACAATAAAAAGCAGCGTGGATAAAATATACAACAATACAATCGTCCTTTACTAATAATCAACAGCATAGCCAACGCTTTTCACATACAGAAATCAGTAAGACAAGAATTTCAATTGTACCCCTAATAAAACCCCTACTTAAAAATATATGAGATGACATATCGATTGAAGGTATGTATATTCCAAACAAGACTTTGACGGCAAAATTCAACAACTTCGGGAAATGAAGTAGAGATAAAAATTTTAAAAATTATGGGGATATGTAAATGGCAGGGAAAATATAATTACAACACATCATAATAACAAACCCAGAATTTATGGGACAACCTATAAGTTATACCAGCGAGTCGACAAAAGACGACAAAGAAAATTAGACAATACTGAACATTACAATAAAAAACAACCTCAGCAAATAACACTAAGGCAACTCAAACTTTCGTTGATAAAGCTGCAATAGTAACACACACACACACCAGTCCAACAATGTTTTTCAGATCGACAAACTCATTTATTAAAGATACATACAAATTAGAGAAGTTTTTAAAAAAAATCAGAAGCATTAACACCAAAACCTTAATACCCCTTCCTAACACAATCTCAGGTTTTTTGTAAAAAAAAATATTCCATGTATAGAAAATGATGTAGTGGGTGTCCTGACATGGTATAACTAATTTCATCTGCATCGTTCAAGTATTATACAAATTATGACATGTGTACAAACGTGTTACAATATAGTATAATGCAGGGGTCGACAACCTGCGGCTCGCGAGCCGCATGCGGCTCTTTTGCTGTCCAGTTGCGGCTCTTCAGCTCCATGCACAAATGTTAATAATATTTTTTTTTTCCAAAACTCATTTAAATATTAGTCTGCAGCACTCGGTAATAAACGATATAACAATAGATGTAAACAATAAACATTCACTATTTTATTAGAATATTTAGTTACTCCCCATCTCAGTGTACTTCTTATTACATTGTCCATTCCTAATTAAAACATTCAACATCACAAAAAAACTAAACCAGCTAAGTGAAAAACTGAAAGAAACCCAGCATATTTCTTGCTTGAAGAAGTGGTTTGTTTCGAAAAAAAAATTTTTTTTGTTAAATACATGGGGAGCGGTAAATTATTTAATTACGAAAAATCTGAAAAAAATATCGTTATGAAACCAATGCTACTATTCAATCACTTCAGCATTAATATAAACAAAATGAAGGATGTTTTCACTGAGAGATTTGAGCTATTCAAAACAAATGCAAGTAGGCCCTACTCTGACTTACATAGTAGATCCTCTCAACACAAATTCAAATGAGATCATTTCATGTATTCAAAGCTATTTATTTTAAATTTTATATATAGTATGATATTTGTTTTGGATTATATATATATATATATATATATATATATACAGTGGCGTAGCGAGGTCGGGTGTCACCCGGTGCGGCACTTAATGGTGTCACCCCCCCCAGAAACGGTGCGACCCTTCCCGGGGACAAACTTTCAAGTTTTCGATTTGCACCCCCCCCCCTCAAAATTTCGATTTGCACCCCCCTTCCCCCTCAAGTTTTTCTCTATATATTTTGCTATTTTTTGCCTTGGTGTCACCCCCCTAAATGGTTTCACCCGGTGCGGTCCGCACACCCCGCCCCCCCCCCCCCCCTCGCTACGCCCCTGTATATATATATATATATATATATATATATATATATATATATATATATATATATATATATATATATATATATATATATATATATACTAAACAAATATACTATTGACATAAAAATGTTAGTGGCTCTTTAAAAACCGGGTAATGTTGTAAATTGTAACTTTTTGCTCTTTCGTCTCAAAAGGTTGCCGACCCCTGGTATAATGTCATTAAACATTTATGGACTGCTAATTACTTACCTTCTGGGAAGCCGCTGAAAAGCTTCAGAGAATGGTGCTGTATAAAAATATATAAGTAGTAAAATACAAGCATTTGATGGTAATCTACTTGAATAAATGTAACGCCATTTGTGTGATTGTTTAATACATGTAAACGAATTGCAATATTAAAGCAAGAGTGAGCTCCCCTTAACTTTCAAGCATATCCTTACATAAGAGTAAGTGTTGGAGGTGGTACCTGCTGTGGAATCGGGCTATAGAAATATACACATTTGCGAGGAAACCACTCGTTTTTCGAGAAAATATTTTTTTGTCGAGAAAGTTCTTAGATTATGTTGCTTTATGAGAATATAATATACTAGTAAAAAATTAAAGAATAAAAGTATCCCGTCCAGTTACCTGCAATCGATCAAAAGTTGAAAGAAATCTACTTACAGGATCTTAATACTTATAAATTAATTTAGAAACCGGAACTAGGATAAAGTACACTTAATAATTATACCTGAATTTAGAAACTGGAACTAAGGTAAAGTACACTTTCCGAATATCGGAGGTTTTCTAAAAAATTAAAAGCAACATAATTATACAATTGTATACGTATGTATGAAATTTTGTCGACCTAACTAAAACGGTAGTTAAGTTGTCGGTTTTTGAGAAGTGGAGTAAGTACCACTTCCAGTTAACAGAAATCTCTTAAAACTTCATTGCATATAATGATGTGTGAAATTTCGTCAACCTAAATAAAGCGGTATTTCAGTTCTTGTGTTCACATATACACATAAAAACGCACATGCAGACATACATACAGACACGTTTGCAAAAATGAGTTTTTCCAAATTAGTAGGATGTAAAGCGCCAAGAAGTCGATTTCAATTTTTTTCTACGATTACAATACCTCCTCCTATACCAGAAAAAAGAAATTACAAATGCCTACTTCCCATTTATAAAGTCAAATATTGTTAAGGGAAATAACCTAAAATTAATTTCTTTGAAAAGGCTCTCAAATATAATGGTATTTAATTGTCACATAAATAAAATACTGGCCGTTAATTTTTTTAAAAGCTTAATAGATATGTATAATTATATAATAATATGTATAGATGTGTGTTTTATAACTTTTAGTTTAGTAGATTTGTTTTTAAATGTTAAAATAGAAAACTTTAAACTATGGTAAACACAAAATTTATAAATAATTGAAAGTTTAATCTATAACGATTGGTAGTAATAGAATAGGCCAAGAAATTCTCGTTCTTCTAATATTACTTTTGTCTGGTTTAAATAATAAACACCTGCACCAACGTCACGTTCACTACCATGGGTGGTATTAAAGCCATTAATAAGCCAAGGCATTCCGACACTGTAAGTTCCAAAAACAGAAAAGAATTAAATATCTCACTGTCGCTATGATAGGTAGATGATATAAAATGTTCCGTAAAAAGACGACAAAGAAAATGTAGCAATATTAAAATGTGTTTGTGTTTTTATTTAGAAAAAAATCAATAATCAATGTCATGTGTACAACGTGTCGGAAGGGGATACAAGTCATGTGTGATGACGCCTAACTTTTATTTAGCACATTTCGCGGTTCGCGATATCCTGCAGTAAATCAGCCACACGCATCCTGTCCACTGTGCCGTCTGCTAGTCTGGGGATGTCGTCTGCGAACCACACGTGCGTGACGTGGAACACCGACTCACGGTCAGCAAAAACAAACTGTGCGATCGTTTGGTTGATCTGGTCTTTAGTGACGTGGGAGTTGTCTTTCCTGTTGGTGAGTTAACGTTCTTTGAACATTTGTATCACAGAGAAAACGTGAGAGATTTGGGTGAGTAAAAGGAGGACCGAGTGGTCAAACGGTAGAACAAAACAGTTACTAATCCGAAAGTCTCGAGTTCGGTTCAGGGACTAAACTTCTTATAAATTCCATGAGACCACCCAGCTCTGATGGGTATACCTGATTTGTATTGGGTAATGTAAAAGTGGCTAAACATATTGCATATCACAAAATCCCTTTATATGACGAGAATTGATAAACAAATCAGCTTCTGGTTCGAGAGGGGTACCGAGCTTCATTATTTTTATTCAAGCTAAAAATAAGCGAAGTAAATCTCATGATCATAGAGCTTATACTTGTTTATATAATAACTAAATAAACTTGTATAAATAAATAAGTAAAGATCAGGGAGTTATACGTGGTATATATGTTATAAATTCTCATTAACAAAACATGCAATAAAGTGGAGATGAAATTTTAAAATCTAGTATGCAATTGTATGGACTTTACTTCAACTTGAGTTACATGTATGTTCAATTCAGCGGTATGTAACGATGGTGGACTTTGTACAATAAGTAAATATATAGATGTGCAGTATACCACACAAAGACAATGTGGTGTAACAAAGTGTTTACAGTACACCAGACAAAGACTATGAGATGTAACAAAGTGTTTACAGCCAAGGCGTATCGAGGGGGGGGGGGGGGGGGGCGGGGTGTGCGGACCGCACCGGGTGACACCATTTAGGGAGGTGACACCAAGGCAAAAAGTTGCAAAATATATTATAGAGAAAAATGATAATTCAACTAAATTAAGTGATTAATTCGAGTGTTAAATAGTCTTTTAAGAGGTGCAAATCGAAAGTTTGAGGGGGGGGGGGTGCAAATCGAAAATTGAAAGTTTGTCCCCGCGAAGGGTCGCTACGCCTCTGGGGGGTGACACCATTAAGTGCTGCACCGGGTGATACCGGCCTCGCAACGCCAGTGGTTTACATTACATCACACAAAGACGATGCAGTGTAACGAAATGTTTACATTACACAAAGATGATATGGGGTGACAAATATTAACAGCACACAAAGACGATGTAGTGTAACAAAGTGTTTACAGTACACCGCACAAAGACGATGTAGTGTAACAACGTGTTTACCGTACGACACACGCCCCCACAGCATGAAACAAGACGTCATCCAACACGGGCACCACCACGACTTGCTGGACTGCCGGATGGGCTGCGATCATCTCTTCCAGCCATGCCGGATACAGCATGTACTCGCCGTGTAGGATGATGGAATCGATTCTACCTCCAACAAACAGGTGACCAGTGCTGGGACATACAATAGGAAGAACAGGACTACTGTTAAAGATATTTTGCTTCGGCCCAAGGCTTGTTCAATGATATCATATCAAGGCCCCCACCCCACTTACCTACCACCACCACCACACTCACCTACCGCCCTCACCACCAGTTACCAACAGCCCCTACCCCAACTACCTCGCATCCCCACCCCTTTCACTAACCGTCCTGAAACCCCACTCATCTACCATCCGCCACCCCCTTACCGTGGCCCACCCATACCGTCCCCACCATACCCCTACCGCCCCCACCCCACTCACCTACCGCCCCCCACCCCTGACCTACCATAACTGACACCAATTACCTACCGTCCCCCACCCTATACTATTCCACACACCTATCGTCCCCCACCCTATTCTATTCCCCACCCCCCACACCTATCGTCCCCCACCCTATCCTATTCCCCACCCCACATACCTACCGTCCCCCACCCTATCCTATTCCCCACCCCACATACCTACCGTCCCCCACCCTATCCTATTCCCCACCCCACACACCTACCGTCCCCCACCCTATACTATTCCACACACCTACCGTCCCCCACCCTATCCTATTCCCCACCCCACACACCTATCGTCCCCCACCCTATGCTATTCCCCACCCCACATACCTACCGTCCCCCATCCTATGCTATTTCCCACCCCACATACCTACCGTCCCCCATCCTATGCTATTCCCCACCCCACACACCTAACGTCCCGCACCCTACCTTTTTTTTACCCTGATCACCTACCGTTTCCATCACCCCCCCCCCTCTTAACGTTCCCCACCCAATTCATCGAACCTTCCACCACCCCCTACCATCCCCACCCCTCTCAACTACCGTCCCCAACCTCAAACACCTACCGTCCCCCGCAACCGACCTTCCACACCCCGTCCGCCACCCCAACCCTACGGTCCCCCACCCCACTCACCTTTTATCAACATAACCAACATCATTCGTCATATACCACAAATCTTTATCAAATTTTTCCGCCGTCCTTTCCGGATCACAAGGATAACCCCGGAACATACCGCGGCTTTTCACCAGTACTCTCCCCTTCTCCCCCATCTTGACGTCTCGCCAGTTCTCGTCCACAAGTCTCATCTGCACACCTACGATTGTTAATAAAGGGACGCAATCCTTATTATGAATTACTCTCACTTCCGAGTTATTGGAAAATAAGACGCATTGTGAACAATGTTAAGACAAGTGAGGCAGATGAAGTAGAGTTAATCTATTTCAATGACCTCGGCATACAAGAAGATAAATTGGGCAGCACTTTGCCAAGCCGCCTTTGTTTTCCTAACGAAAGTTAGGTACCCATCAGAGTTAAGTGGACACAAGCACATTTACTGATTTGAGCCCGGATTTGAACTTGAGACTTTAAAGTTTAGCAGTGTAGTTCTCAACCGATAGGTCACGCCATCCACAAAACTCACATGGTATAACTACACACAGACCACACCCACCTGGTAGAACCTACACACAGACCACACCCACCTGGTAGAACCCACCCACAGGCCACGCCCACCTGGTATAACCCACACACAGATCACACCCACCTGGTAGAACACACACACAGACCACACCTACCTGATAGAACCTACACACAGACCACACCCACCTGGTAAAACCTACACATAGATCTGGCCCCAGTGTTAAGACCCACACACAGACCACACCCACCTGGTAGAACCCACACACAGACCACACCCACCTGGTAGAACCCACACACAGGCTACACCCACCTGGTAGAACCTACACACAGGCCACACCCACCCGGTTGAACCACCATACAGACCACGAACACCTTGTAGAACCGCCCCACAGGCCACACCCACCTGGTAGAACCCACCCACATACCACACCCACCTGGTAGAATCCACACACAGACCACACCCACCTGATAGAACCGCCCCATAGACCACACCCACCTGGTAGAACCCACACACAGACCACACCCACCTGGTAGAACCCACACACAGGCTACACCCACCTGGTAGAACCTACACACAGGCCACACCCACCCGGTTGAACCACCATACAGACCACGAACACCTTGTAGAACCGCCCCACAGGCCACACCCACCTGGTAGAACCCACCCACATACCACACCCACCTGGTAGAATCCACACACAGACCACACCCACCTGATAGAACCGCCCCATAGACCACACCCACCTGGTAGAACACACACACAGACCACACCTACCTGATAGAACCTACACACAGACCACACCCACCTGGTAAAACCTACACATAGATCTGGCCCCAGTGTTAAGACCCACACACAGACCACACCCACCTGGTAGAACACACCCACATACCACACCCACCTGGTAGAACCAAGCCATTATCGAAGTCCTGGTACTGATCGATCTGATCAGCCGATAAGTTCAAGGCACTGATCATGCCGGTCTCGTGACTCCCGTAGCCGACACTGAAGGACCTGGCGAATTTCCTGACAGAGTTCAACATTGCCCTAGTCACTGGCATACCGGCTGGTCATGGAGAGATGAGACACAGGTCACCTTTCTGTTAGTCGTAGGCTACACTATAAATATTGCTAAGGATGATTGATAACTGTTTGGTTAGATTTGAGTTTAGTCTTCTTTGCTCGCACATGGTATAATCCATTTCAATCGTTTGATTTTTAATTAGATTTATAATCAGAGTTTATCTAGTTTTCGGATTTATTTTTTTTTTATAATGTCATAAAAGATGACACAGGGATGAGCGGGGGTAAAGTCTGTGGCTTGATTTAGTGTATTTATGGATGTAACTGTGGATTCTGCGTCAGGTATTCTAAATTTTAAAGCTAATTTCTGTAAGAATGCCAATAGTCGAACTTAGGGTTTAGTAGGTTTTAACGTTAACTTGATGTATTTCACCTAAAAGAGGAAATAATTCCAGAAGAATCCTCTGACCTATGAACAGGTGATCGAGGGGTGGCTCCTGTACCCCCGGGTCCATATACCTCAGCATCTCCACCACGTAGACGGGCTGTATGTCCGCGTGTTTTACGTCCTCTGTTGCTATGATACTGCACAGCATTCGCGGATAATCTACATGTAGGGGAAGTAACTCAATGAAAAAAAATATTCACAAGATTCGAAGTTTAAAACTGTGATTGTAAATTTAAATTTTTTCTCGTATACGAAATATAGAGCAAGTATGGTAATCGTGCAAAAAAATCGAGATTTAAAAAAATCTCGAAGTTTTACACCTCCCTGATTCGGAAAAAACATAGTTTTGCAATTTTGTCCATGAGTCTGTGTGTGTATGTGTGTCTGTGAACACGATAACTTGAATACCGTTACAAGTAGTTTTAAATATAGTTTAATGTGGCATATTAATATAGAATGGATTCTAATTTAAGATTAACTAAACCTTAGTTAATTTTAATATTAAGTAAACTTATTTTAGGGTAAGATTTTCCATAGAGATTTTCATAACACGGGGAAACTCAACCTGCAGGTTGCTCTACCCGTATGGTACTTTGCCCTATAGTAACCACTTACCGTGAACGGTACGCCACAGGTCCGGTATTACCCTCGTCACTCCGTACAGGAAGTCACGTGGTAGACTAGTCAACCAGAACCACGGGTTGATGTACATAAACTTTGTGTGTGGGACCTGGGTAATACTGTTCACTGCAAGAAATAGGTACAACATATTCATACATATATATATATATATATATATATATATATATATATATATATATATATATATATATATATATATAGGGCCTATATTTTTGCTAGATGTTATTTTTAGTATTAGAGCATGGAGCGAAATATGTCCTTTTAATACTATGATTTGGAAATGATACAATAATTAAAGGTAGATAGCTCATAAATCTCTATCCGATTGAGCGCATTTCCATGAGTTATCTCCATTACTTTGAGAAACTCGCTGGGCCAAGATACAATACTTAAAGGTAGATAACTCACATATCTCCATCTGACTGAGCGCATTTCCATGAGTTATCTCCGTTAGTTTGAGAAACTCGCTGGGCGACCCAGTGGTCATGTGAACGAACGCTACCATCTCCGAGTTGATGCCGTCGTACACATATTCATCAGGCGACGCCCTCAGCAACTCAACAAACGACAGCTGCCTTAGGTCTACCAGAAAGGTTGTGTTAGATGTTGGGTATAAGTAATAAGTTAAAAGTTATGGATGAATGTAAACATGTATTTAACGAATTTACCTGACTACAACGTTAAGGAAACAGAGATGGGTACAACATGGAGTATACATGTAGGTTTCAAATATAAGGGTATATTATTTTTGAAGGTATTTTTTGAAATTACGATTTAATATTTTCTACTGTAAGCAGGCGATAGAGACATGGGACATGATCAAACTACAATCTTTTATATCTTTAAATATCTGCCTAGGGGAAATACAATTTATATAATTTATAACAATTCATAATAAATGATTTGATAAAGTACATAACATAACAGTATAATAAAGGACAGAATAAATGCATACATTAACCCATATTCTGCTAGCGTCCCACTTATGGGACGCTTGCAAAAAAAATTGCTAAAATTTATTAAAAACTAGTTAAAACACAAATTATGTTTCATTGTATTTAAAAATGGCTAGACTATTGAATTTGTGTGTGTTTTGTGAAAAAAAATAATTTAGAAAAATGTTATAGAGCCGGATTTGCAGGACTTGTCAAAATGGCGGAAAAAAGAAAACATGCGCACAGGAAAATGCATATCTTCTAAAATATTAACATTTTAAGTGCAAAATACATTTGAAACTTGTAGCAGTACCATATTTCTATCTGATAAAAATTTAAGAATAACAATTTTTTTTTACTACTTGGTTATATCAAGTGTACAACAAGCGTCCCATAAGTGGGACGCTAGCAACGAAAGGCCCCATGTAGATTGTTACACAAACGTCACATTTATTGGACACTAGCGAGAAACACAGATGCAAATATTCATGTTAAATGGTTATTTATGGTGAAACAATTGTTGACTTTGTTAACTGCTGACTTTGGGGTGTTAAGTAGTATTTATAGATATTTAATTATGACCTTGAGCTATATTTTCTTATATATTATTGTATTTAAAAAATTGCAAATATTGAAAAACTTACATTTTATTTTTAAGTTTTCAGAATAACACTTATTGAAGTATTTAATACCATTGAATACAAACTAATTTAGTATTGCTGTAAATTTACTAGCGCGTGATATTAAAATTATAACAAAACAGAATAATAACAATGGCCACGATTTAGGTGAAATGATTCAGTCATGGGGGTTGGTTAACTCTCTTCATATAAGAGAGCTTAAGCTACATATAGCAGAAATGTGAATTAGCTGTGTACGGTTGTCATGCCCCAATAATATTTCCCTCCAAAGGTTCCCGATACCAGTTTTACTTTGTTAACTTTTTAAGGAGATTCCTGGTGTTAGATTGGGAGCTGTTCGCATAGTGAGGTGCATACATGGATGAGAGCCATGAACACTCAATACAAGCCCCCAGAGACGGATCTGTGCCCTAGAAATAAGATGTCTGATGCAGTGGCGTAGCTAGGATTTTTGGGCCCCTATGCAAAAAGTGTTAGTGGGCCCCTCAGAGGCGTAGCGACCCTTCCCGGCGACCGGGGACAAACTTTCGATTTGCACACCCCCTCCCCCAGACTTTCGATTTGCATCCCCCCCTTAGACTTTCGATTTGCACACCCCCACCCCTCAGACTTCCTAATGTACGCCTGTGAGGGGGGGGGGAATAGCGAGGGTAACAAAAGAGAAGATGGCTGGATGACATCTGGAACGACCGGATCATCTTTTGCAAATTCACTGAGGGCAGAGTTTCTTTCAGGCATCATTTCGGAGGAGGGGGGGGGGGCTCTGCCCCCAGAACAAAATAGAATTTATATACAAAACATACTTTTACCAATGTCCACCCTTCCCCTGAAATTTAATTCCCCACCCCTGAAAATATCAAGTACTCCCCCCAAAAAAATCAATTATTTATATTTAATTATATTACAGTTTCGATGAATAATAACAATATTTTTGATCATGTGTGTATAATTAGATGTACTAGTCACAGCTTTACTTATTTCCAAGTGTTGTTCACTTTGATGGATGCTAGATTGAAAGAAAACTAGACTTTTGAACATAATTTCTCCATTTTAGACCATGGTATGGCTAACCCAATTGATCATTATCAGTATTATTTGCTGTCCTAAACAATGTAATCATTGGTCTAACAATACAAAATCAGTATACAGCTTAATTTTCGCGTGATTAGCCATATTTCGTGATAAATGATTTTATGTTTCAATAAATGTACATGGGGCCGTTCGTTGCTAGCGTCCCATTTATGGGACGTTTTTTTAAAAATCGATATTTAAAAAAGTATTGATTTTTAAAAAAAATCCATAGTCATTCCTTCATTCAGTGCCCAAAAGCTTAACCATATCAAAAAATTTAAAAAATTTGAGACCTTGGGATAATATGGGTTAAGAAAATCAGAAAATAATATTACCAGAGACAATGAATTGAGAAAAAGAGCGAGACTCGAAAACATATGGCGCAGAGATATAGAACGAAGCGTAAATATTAGAGTAAAGAGTTGAAAGAAATGGGAAAAATTAAAGGACAGAAACGCATGGAAAAATGTAAATAGCCTATTCTCAATTGGGAGTTGAAAAGGTGATGAGGAAGAAGCAACAACCGAGGGACGCTAATATACCTGACCGACGAACCAACAACATCCGCTTTAAATGGGGCAGCACTTTCAGATCAAGGTCAGCCCACGGAGTTGTTTCGTCGCTGGGGATTGTGGTATAGGGAGACAGGAAGTTGAGGACATTGTCCCACGCGGCGTCCCTGACAACCACCAGGCGAGCTTTGGTTCTGTCAAGGGAAATAACTATTGAAGAAAGTTATTATTTCCTTTATTAATTTGTAAATTAAAGTAAAGCAAGTATTTATAAAACAGTGTAGCTTATAATTAACAACACTAATAAAGTGGATGGGGGTCAGTGTGGTTGTTCGTTCTGGACCATAATATTATTTAATTGTATGTTATAGGACTTTTTTATCTGCCGTGTTAAAATGGATAGTTAAAGAGGTTCAAAGACTAGGACACATTGTCACAATTTGATCCTTCGACAATTAATAACAGATAGGGAAATTTTATTTAAGTGAGTTCACTTTCAGTGTACAGTGTTCACCTCTGAAGGCAGATATGAAAGTACGTTAATAATTTTTTTTAAGTTAACTTCGGCAAAAAAGTAATATAGGATTAATGTTTTGTGTTAGGGTTTACCTTTAATGTTGAGTGTTAATGTTCAACAAATACACATACCTGGCCATGACGTGAGTGAAGCCACTTCCGTTTTTAAAAGAAAGGTCAAGGTTGACGGGGGCGGCGCCAGCGAACATGATGCCGAAGGTGACGACGGCCGCCTCCGGTGATACGGGCAGGGTGGACGCCACGTAGTCGCCGGGTAGGACGCCCTCCTGTTTCAACACGTAGGCAAACCTGCAACAGGGAGTCTACGTCTTTAGGTCATCACACGACTACAGTGGCGTAGCCAAGGGGGGAGTGGAGAGTCAAAGGTTTGACCACCCCCCCCCCCTCCATTTACACTTACAATGGCAGTATAACGTTAAGCTAGAGCTATTATAAACAATGAGCTACTGGGTAGCGCCAGCAGTCTAAAATTGAAAAGACTTGAAGTGGTTTGTTTACTGACCAGTGGCTATCGACTAGAGGCAGCCGTAGCTTTTACAGTACCTCGGGCAAGAGTTAGTAAAAACAAAATGGCTGCCTGGGCAAATTTATGTTATAGCAATGTTTTCAATAAATATTACACATATCTTTAATATATATATATATATATATATATATATATATATATATATATATATATATATATATATATATATATATACACGTGTTTGTGTGTGTTTGTGTGTATGTGTGTGTGTGCGTGCGTGCGTGCGTGTGTGTGTGTGTGCGTGCGTGCGTGTGTGTGTGTGTGTGTGTGCTGGCTAATACCGCATTTTTTGTTATTTGGGTGTGTGTAAAACAATTCAAATATAGGCCCCTACATGTATTTCATAACAATGCAACCATTTAAGTAAAAAAAAATGGTTCATGACACATTATTTAGTAAATGATAGCATTTCAAAACGTCATAATGACTCCCATATATCTATGACTTAACTAGAGCCAACATTAATTTGGGGGTAAGGCGGGGGGGGGGGGGGGCTATAGAGGTGTCCTACCACCCACCATTTTCCTCTCGCCCCCCTAACGGCGGTAGCGTAGCGAGGGGGGTGGGTGGGGGAGACATATGGTCCCGGGCGCCGAACTTAGGGGGCGCCAAAATGGGTTGGAAAAGTAAATTGAAAGGTTGAGGGGGGTGCAAATAGAAATCTTGACGGGGGGGGGGGGTGCAAATCGAAATTTGAGAGAGGGGGTGCAAATCGATAGTTTGAGGGGGGGGGTGCAAATCGAAAAGTTTGTTCCCGGGCGCCGGGAAGGGTCGCTACGCCTCTGCCTATCGCTAAAACCCTGTGTCAAGGCCGCCTAGTCTGAAAGTGTAAAGTCTTGAAGTGGTTTGTTTACTGCCCTATAGCTATGCAGTTGCTTGACCAGCGAAGGACCACACGCGGGCAGTCGATGATCAGCTGGGGGGAAATAATGTTGCCCACAATGGCGGATACAGGAGAGGAGGGGGAGGATGAGTGGTGGGCGGTGGGCTGTTGTTGAATGAGATTCTAGGGAGTGTGGTTGGTAGGCGGGGTGCGTGTTTTTTTTCTTTAGTGCCATTGTTCGTCTAGAGCTTTCGATCCGATTGTTTGAAAACGTTTGGGTAACATTGATGAGTAGCAAGTAACGTACGGCCCTATGTGTCTTGGGCACAAAAGGGAAAAGATGAAGTAATGTAGGAATCCGCATGTTGTATTGGAAATGATATCTTATATATCGTACAAAATGAAATCTCTTAACCCCAACTTATAGAGGGACGGCATAATCTAACGTTAGAACACAGGACTTCTCTAAAGTGTCGCGTCCCTAGGACGTGCCAGAGTCGATTCAGTTCTTATGGGTACCTGATTCAAGGTAAAGTAAAAGCAGAAGTCACAAAAACACGTGAACTTTATTGCATATTCTTAATGGTTCGTTGGATTCGGAAAAAGTAACTGTTTTTACCCCCCCCCCCCCCCCTCCCACTTCCACAAAAATTGTGACCCATGTTTTTCCAAAAGATTTGTCCTATTCTGCCCTACTGTATAACCAAAAAAAACATATGTCCTATTCTGATATTTTGACCCCTAAAACATGGGTCCTATTGTGCTCTAATATGTATTGAAAAAATAAATCTCCTATTCTGTCCTACTGTATATCCGAAACATGTGTCCTATTATGTCCTACGGTATATCCAAATAAACAAATGTCATATCATGTCCTACTGTATATCTAAATAAACATATGTCCTATCATCTCCTGCTGTATAACCAAATAAACATATGTCCTATCATGTCCTACTGTATATCCAAATAAACGTATGTCCTATCATGTCCTACTGCCCTACTGTCCTACAACCCTGACCTTGCACTCATAGTGCAGAGCTCCTCTAGTGTAATGGCCGTCCTGACCATGTCCTCGTCGTACGACACTATGGCCTCGATCAAAGGGTTCCTACGACTCTCTTCCCTTAGTCTGGATACGACATCCCTACTGATGGATACGACATCTTTTCCAGTGGATACGACATCCCTACTACTGGATACGACATCTTTTCCAGTGGATATATCATCCATCATGTCGGCGACACGTTCTCACGCACAGACATTCAACTGAAAGGGAAATTTCAATTTGTAACATAATTTTGAAATGATACTAGATCTAGATGTAGTTTTAATACTCAGTCTTTCAAGGGATTTTTAATGAAGAAGAAAAGGCAAAACTATACAAAATATAATTTCATTTATTGTGTACGTGAGTGTGTATGGGTGGGGGGGGATACTTAAAAATAACTAACATTTTATGTTGAATAATAGAAAAAAGCAACACAAAATAAATAATAAAGAACGGCAATTTAAGTTAAGGCATGCTCTATTTAACTGAAAATCATGATATGAGCATGGTGTTCATAAATTAGAATTAGTAGATTCTACATAGTTTGATGAAAAGCTTAAAAATTAAAAAAAAAATCAAATATTAAAAAAAAACAGAATATCTCATATATTTTATTTTAGTAACCGAATTAATAAAACTTAACTTACAAAACTTAACTTACTACTAAGTAGTCTACAATCAATAGACAACGTAAATAAAATTTAAAAAATTGAGAAATAAACTAAATTCAGGAACTACACTGATCTATCAATACAAACCTAATCACCAACTCAATCCTACAACGAAAAGCACGATAGGCAGACTAAGTTCCTTGATGGACAAAGTGTTCGTGTCCGTTATTGACCGACCGATGGTGTTAATGGCTCACCTCAGGTGTGAAGTACTCACGGCACATGTGTGAATTGTGAGACCGCCCAGGTGTGAATGGTGAGACCCTCTAGGTATGAATGGTGAGACCCTCTAGGTATGAATGGTAAGACCCTATAGGTGTAAATGGTCAGACGGTCTAGGTGTAAATGACGCGATCACATTTCTCCTACCCGTTAGTTGAATATTGATTGGACTAAATGACTGTAAACATTCCGTGAGTATCGCTCACCCGACTTATCGAATGTCGCTACTAATTAATCTTAGCATTTTACTTTTTTTTTAAACTGACTACATTAGCTTTTAAATGAATTTTTAATGACTAATTTAATGTTTAATTAGATTAAAAGTTAGCTATAAGTTTTATTTTAGCGACTTCTTTATTTTTATAGTGTGACTTATTTTCTTTGTGTTTTTTTTCTGTCACATTGTTGCTGTGAATTGTTATATTCCATTAATCATGTTTCATGCGAGTACTTAAACGAAATGATATATCACGGCCATATGATGAAAGTCTAGCTAAGGACGGCCACTTGATGCAAATCTCGCAATGGACGGCCATGTAATGTAAGTATCGTCATGGACGGCCACATGGTGCGAATCACTCTATAGACGGCCAGACCTGTGAAATAGTCTCAGATACTCTCCCCTCTGATGTACGTGAGGCGTGAGTGAATCATCACGGGCGTGCAGCGAGCTCGTCTTTGTTCTCAGCGTCGCTTATCTGCGGCACTTGCCGAGCTGGGTGTCAAGTGCCAGAGTTCCAGGCGAGTTCCAGAGAACACTTTACGTATGGTATCAGTACAGACAAGACACGTTCTTAAGTTACCAAATGATTATTTTTTTTTTTAAAGATGCAGTGTTTATTTTTTGCACATGGAATGAAATTCACACAAATTTAAGAAATTAGCGTATGTGAATTCGGCATATTAAAATTAAAATATACGTTTGGGTATCTAGGTAGTTGCATATAGCTAGATCTTCCAACGTGGTTAGGTTAGCCACAGGTTGGTGATGTTAGCCACATAGTGGTGATGTTAGCCAGTGGTAATGTTAGCCGCACAGTGGTGATGTTAGCCAGTGGTGATGTTAGCCACATTGGTGATGTTAGCCACAGAAAGGGGATGATAGCCACAGAGTAATGTTAGCCAAAGAGTGGGGATGTTAGCCACAGAGTGGTGATGTTAGCCACAGTGGGGATGTTAACCACATAGTGGGGATGTTAACCACATAGTGGGGATGTTAGCCAATAAGTGATGATGTTAGCCACATTGGTGATGTAATCCACATAGTTGATGTTAGCCACAGTGGTTATGTTAGAAACATAGTGGTGATGTTAGCCACAGAGTGGCTTATTTTAAGCCCCCCCCCCCCCACGTAGGTTCATCGTGACGGTCAACATTACCCACCCCCCCCCCACACACACACACACAGACTCCTGGCGTGCGCACATCATTTACACACGAACCCTTCACATTTCTAAAATTAAGTCGTGGACAGTTGACACATCAACTACTCTAGACACACGATTCATAATCCCACTTTACCCCGACCCTCATTCTCAAATATCCCCCTCCTCCCATCCCCACCCCACCCCCTGCTGTCTAGTCCTGTACCAAAAGCACATCTCAGTTCACTGACCTAGTATCGAGACAGCGATATATGTTTGTCGTCCGACATGCGTTTGTCGTGCGACATGCGTTTGTCGTGCGACATGCGTTTGTCCTGCGTTTAAGTTTCACCAACCTGACGCACATAATTCATGCCGGTGGACAAAACAATGACGCTGAAATGATGACACGCACATGATGTATTAGCTTGGAGAGTTTCCCATGTATGCGCACGACAGCTTAAAAAGGTCATGTTAGAAAGCATCATGTTGAACATAATTGCTGTTTTATTAAACGCTGTTAGGCCACAGTGAATGTCTGTTTGTGGCATACATTAAAACATAATTTTTTTTATCAACTTTTAGTGCAGTGGTACCGATTTAAATTTTCAGATTAGTTCTTATCCGATGACATTGCAAAAATATCTGATTTTAATTATACTAGATATCAAATTATACATTACAAATTAAGTAAGAAATTTATATAATGAATAACAGAACGAGAGAAAACAAGATAAATACTAGCGACCATTTGATCACCCAGATATATTGTTGTCAGCTGATATCGACTTCATTAAAACTGTTGAAATCAGAAAAAAATCATTGTTTCTTAAACATTAATATTATTTGACTAAGTAGGGACTATATTAATTTTTAAAAAATATCCCAGAATCACTATAAAAGTAGAATATTCATAATCACTCAAAAATTAAAAGAATAACTCATATATGTATATATATATATACATATATATATATATATATATATATATATATATATATATATATATATATATATATATATATATATATATATATATATGGGTACTACCTCTTATGTGTATATGACAAGTATATGTACATATGCGTATCTATCTGTTTATAAATATATTTCTTTTTACATTTAAATTTTTTTTTGTATCTTTTTTTTTTCGCATTAGACACGTAATTTATAGCGTCAGTTGTGTGTTCGCTTTAGTATTACAGTTTTCATCATCGGCTTGTAAGGACTGATACAGATTTACAAAAGTAATATTTCTTTCTTACTTGTAGCCTACTTGCATTCATTTAAGATGGTTTACTTATACATAGATCTAATACAAAACGTCTAAATACAAATAAAAATTAAAATTAAAAACCAACCTGAAACTGAAAATGCAAATGTGTTATTAAATGATGATTCAAGGGATTTATCATTCCTAAGCTAAACACGCCTTCTTATTAACGAAACTAAGGTAAAAAAATTTTATTTATAGAAATAAAGTATTTTTTTTTTTATTGTTGATGGTTCGCTGTGTAGATTTAACTACATTGGTAATTCTAAAATCTATAAAACATAATAATAAGACAAAGAATTATAAATTAATAAAATAGTTATAATTTAATATTTAGTAAGTTTTATATTAGTTTATTTTTATTTTGTTTTATCTCAATTTAATAATTGTTGTAGTAAAATATGTATTAGTTGCTTCCCTTTTTCATAAAATCCTATAATGGTATGTAACCTGGTGAAATTAATATTTAATGTGAAAAAAAAACACATATTCTCCAACATTGTCATGGTAATCACAGCTAATTACTATTTGATATTTTAAATATGCATTGTGCCACGAGCATCTATATTTCAGGCATGCAGCTTTAATTAACATAAATGTATTTCATAATTATGCCTTTAATTTCGATAGCTTGCTTATTATTTCATTGACTTGTTATTGTTGTTATGGTTTCACATGGCTTTTCGTTAAAACACTGACAGCAATGCCTGGGTGGTTGCCGGCTGCCGGGTGGTTGCCGGTAAGTTGTCGGGTGGTTGTCGGCAGGTAGCCGGGCAGTTGTAGGGAGGTAGCCGGGTGGTTGTCGGGAGGTTGTCGGCAGGTAGCCGGGCGGTTGTAGGGAGGTAGCCGGGTGGTTGTCGGGAGGTTGTCGGCAGGTAGCCGGGCGGTTGTAGGGAGGTAGCCGGGTGGTTGTCGGGAGGTTGTCGGCAGGTAGCCGGGCGGTTGTAGGGAGGTAGCCGGGTGGTTGCCGGTAAGTTGTCGGGTGGTTGTCGGCAGGTAGCCGGGCGGTTGTAGGGAGGTAGCCGGGTGGTTGTCGGGAGGTTGTCGGCAGGTAGCCGGGCGGTTGTCGGCAGGTAGCCGGGTGGTTGCCGGTAAGTTGTCGGGTGTTTGTCGGCAGGTAGCCGGGCGGTTGTAGGGAGGTAGCCGGGTGGTTGTCGGGAGGTTGTCAAGTGGTTGTCGGCAGGTAGCCGGGCGGTTGTCGGCAGGTAGCCGGAAAGACACAAAGCCGTTTGTCCGATGACAGTTATACAGAATTGATATGTGCGCGAACTGGACAAATTCCCGAATGGACATTTGTCAATATGGGACAATCGCCCAAACGGACGTTTGTCATAAAAGGACAAATTCCAAAATGGACTTTTTTTATAATAGGACAATACTCGAATGGACTTTAGCACACATGCTACAAGACCCCCCCCCCCCCAAAAAAAAAACCAGTTACCGAATAACAATTAATAAAATGAGTTTAGTTAACAATCAGAAATTTCGTGCTGAAAAATATTATTTTACACCAAATTAATTTCTCCGAGCGACTTCTCGTTATGTTTTATTTAGTAAGGGAAACAACTTAAAGCCTTTTTCCAAAACACTATTAAAACACAGTAAAAATCAATTAGTAATAAAATTAATAAGAATACTTTCCAACAATTATTAGT